ATTCCGATTCAATGGGGAGAGGAGGGAGAGAGAGCGCGTGTCGGCCACAGGACGAGTCGACAACGGGATTGGTGAGCAAAGTGAAGATGTTGTCAAGTCGGAATTTTGCCTTCAATTTTACTACTGCTCTCATTCCCGGCCCACGCGTGGGTTTGCCACCACCGCGTGGGTTGCCTCCACATCAAAACGCAGACTGATGCATGCTTGATGCGGCCTCACCACCGGATTTTTTTGCCACTACTGCAGCCATGCTGCTGGTATACGTGGGCGTGTGGAGCCAGGGGGGTGAAGATGGCGCTACCGTAAGCTCTGGAAGGGTGATGGGACAGTGCCCAGGGTAGGCAGGGCGCGACAGCTGTCGATGCCGCTGCTGTTGTAGATGCCGCTGCCGCTGCAGCCGTAGCTGCACCACCAGCTGACTCCATCTCGCAAACTCCATCACAAGGTAACTTGTTTGAGGTGGGCGCCACTGGATGCTACCGGGGTTACCGGAGTTTGGCGCGTGGTAGAGCTCGACATCAAGCCCACACTCCCACCAACTATCATGGCACAGTCCGATCTGTCCACACCTCACCACCACCATCACCCGCCGACTGGCTGACATGCTGCCGCACTCAACATCAGACATAACCTTAACCTCCACATCACACAACGCTCTCCCCATCAACCAGTAGCCAGCAGTCAGTCAGCCTGCCTGCCGCCAGCCACCGTTTCGCCAACCCCAATTGGCTCAGCAACGAACGAACCAACGAACCGACCGACCAACGAACCGACCGACCGACCGACCGACCGACCAACGAACCGACCGACGAACCGACCGACCAACGAACCAACAACCGACCAACCAACGAACCGACCGACCAACGAACCGACCGACCAACGAACCGACCGACCAACGAACCGACCGACCAACAAACCGAACAATGCGCGCCAAACGGTTGCGACGAAAGCGAGACGATACAGGGCGTTTACTCCCCCCCCCCCCCCCCCGCAGACGACACACCCCCCAGGCCACAGCCACAGTCACAGCCACACACACACACACACACACACCACCACCACCACCACACACACACACACACACACACACACACACACACACCACAACAACCACAACCACAACCACACACATACATACATACACTCACGTTCACCATGCCCTCCATGGGCCGCACCCTCTCACCGCCCGCCAAGGGCGCCAGCTCGCCCCCAACCGCCGGTACCTCGCACAGACGGAAGACGGGACGCCCGCGGGTGGCCGGTGGCCTACATACTGTCACTGCCCTCGCTCCTCTTGTTGGGCTCGTCGTCATCACCCTCCTCCTCCTCCTCGTTCCGGACAACACACACGCTGCGGTGGCTCGGCCTCATGGCCCTGCTCGGCCTGTGGCTGCTGACGATGGTCGAGGGCTCCTCCTGGCTGAAGATACCGCTCCTACCTCGTCGATGCCGTTCTGCAGGAACTCTTCATTCTTGATCTCGCCGGGACTGGTAGAGACAGACATGCGGACGCTGGCTCTGGATCCTGGGCTGGGCAAGGCGTATGTTCCGTTCATCTCGCCGGTGGTAGCCATTATCGATACCGCCAACCACGCCAGGACTGGCTCCGTCGACACCTCGCCACATCAGGACTTTCTCTCGGCGGTCCTGCTCGAGTCGCTGCACCGCCTCTACCTCACCTCAGGCACAAGCGGTGAGCTGGTTGTCATCCAGGTCGACGATCCGGTCCCGAGCGTCGTCGCCTCGACCTCACTCCGCACCGCGCTTACCCCGGTCCCGGCCAAGGCCTTTTTCTTCGCCGCTGTCCTCGACCCGGCCACTGCAACCGCGTACTACGGCGAGGTGACCGGCTACGTCGCCTCTGTCCACCTGCCGACCCTTACTGTCACGCGCACAGCTCTCTTGCCCGGTCAGCCCAAGCTCCGGTCCGCCGCGCTCGACGCCTCGGCCTCGTACCTCTTCATCGGCTCGCTCAACGCAGGCTCTGGTGCCGTGGTCGCCATCCTCCACACGGCCAACCTCACCCTCGCTGCGCCGACGCTCAACTTTCCGTCGCACTCGTTTGTGGCACTCGCCGCAAACGCCGTCGACAACGTTGTCTACGCCGCCTCGTCCTACGCCTCGTCGTCGGTCGTCATCATCGACGCCGCCCCGCCGTTTGCTACCTCCATCCTCGCGCTCCCCGCTGACGACGCCCCGCTCCTTTCGGCCGTCTACATTCCATCCGCGCAGACGCTTCTCCTCGGAACCGACATCGCCTTTGGGCCCGGTACCTCGCGCGTCATTGCCCTCGCTGCAGGCCCCGGTGTCGCCCTCACCCGCACCGGCGCGGCCACCATGGACACCGACGAGGTCTCGCTCGTCGCCGCCGTCCATGACGCCGCCGCAGACGCTGTTTATCTTCCGTGCCGCGGCAGCTCGCGCATGCTCGTCCTCTCACTCACGCCGCCCAACTGCTCCGCCATCGCTGAGTGTGGCTCTTGCAACTCTGCCTGCGGCTGCGGCTGGTGCGCCTCGTCCGAGTCTTGTCACACCGGCGACCCCAACGGCCCGCTCGACGGCGCCACTTGCCCGGCCGCTGCCTGGGACTACTACGACTGTGCCAACTGTGTCGCCACCTCCTCCTCGTGCTCCCACTGTGCCACTAATCCGCTCTGCGGCTGGTGTGCCGCGACGCAGCAGTGCGTCCGTGGCTCGGCCTCGGGCCCAGTCGTTGCTTCCTACTGTCCGGCCCCGATCGACTGGGACTACGGCTCGTGCCCGGCCTGTCACACCCTCGGTCCGTCGTGCTCCGCCTGCGTTGCCGACCCCAAGTGCGGCTGGTGCCCGGCCACCGCGACTTGCGAGCGCGGCGCGGCGCCCGACTCGTACACCTCGACCTGTCCGTCGTGGTCTTTTGCCGCTTGCCGCGGTCCGAGCTGCGCCGCCGCCGCCTCTTGCGGCGCCTGTGCGTCTGCGGACCCGCATTGCGGCTGGTGCGCGTCGTCGACCTCGTGCATCGAGGGCAACGCCACGACGCCGTATCCGATCGCCGCATCGCCGTCGTCCTGTCCCGGAGACCCGTCGGCGTGGACCGGCGCCGTCTGCTCGGCCTGCTCGCTCCACACCAACTGCTCGGCTTGCGGTGCCGATGAGCTCTGTGGCTGGTGTGCGTCGAGCCAGAGCTGTGTGCCTGGCGCGGCCTCGGGCCCTCATGCCGCCCCGACCTGCGACGCCGCCGACTGGTCGTACGACACGTCGGCCTGTGTGGACTGCGCCGCCGCCGCGTCATGCTCTGCATGCACGGCCCTCACCGGCTGTGGCTGGTGTGCGCAGACGGCGACCTGCGAGCGCGGCTCCGACACCACCTCATACACCTCGACCTGCACTGCAGCCTCAGGCTGGGCCCGCGACAGCTGTCCGGTCTGCGCCACGGCCTCGGGCTCGTCGTGCGCCTCGTGCACCTCCCTCGCCGGTTGTGGCTGGTGCGCGTCGACCGCGACGTGTCTCGCCGGCGACGCCGCGGGCGCGTGGCCTGGCCAAGCCACCTGCCCCGTCACGCACTGGGACTTTGCCGGTGCTGGCGGCGCTGGCTGTCGTGAATGTGCCTCGCGCTCTGGCTGCGCCACCTGCCAAGCCGACCGCCGCTGCGGCTTTTGCTACGCAGACGGCCTCTGCAAGCCGTCAGACTCGGCGACTGGCAGCCTCATTGGGTCCCAGTCGTGCGGGACGAGCGAGGCCGTCTTCTTTGAGACGGATGCCACATGTCCGGACCTCTGCACCGGGCCTCAGACCTGCGCCGCCTGCGCCGCCTCGGACCCCCGCTGCGGCTGGTGTGCATCGTCGTCGACTTGCATGCCGTCGTACCTGAGCAACTCGACGTGCAAAGTGTGGGACGGAGCCTGCGACCGTTGCACTCGCCACGGTGCCGACTGCGCCGCCTGTATCGCCGACGACGGCTGTGGTCTCTGCGACTACGATTCAGCCGCCTCAACCTGCGTCCCAGGCTCGCCCACCGGGCCCTACGACATTGCCTCGTGCCCAGTCGGCTCGCTCGACGGCCTTCCGGTCTGGCTCCACGGCACTTGCTCCGGCGACGGTCTCCGCGACCTGTGCGACATCTCGTCCGCCGCAGCCGCCGCAGGCACCCAGCCCTCGTGCGCCATGTGCCTCGCCCAAGCCGGATGCGGGTGGTGCCCGTCGAGCCGGACTTGCCACACCCCGGCGCTCTCGACGTGCTCCCGCGACGTTGTCACCTCGGCATGCCCGGGCTACTCTTACTACTACGTCCTCGCCCTCGCCCTCGTCCTTCTCCTCCTTCTTATTGCCGGCTGCGTCTTTGCCTGGCTCTACGTTCGCGACGTGCGGCCACTAGAGGAGCAGCTCTACGATCCGGCCAAAGCCTACGACGCCGCCAACGTCGCCGCCGGCTTGCCCGGCGGCGTCGACGCTGCCCGCACCCACGGCATCGCCCCGCCTGCGCCGGCCAAGGCCGGCAAGTCCACCGCTGCCGCTGCCGCTGCAAACGACTCGCAAGACGATGACGAGTTTGAGCTCGTCGGCATCGATCGCTCCGATGGCGACCCAGACTCGAGCGCCGACGCCGAGCGCGACGAGCGCGGTCTGAGTGTCTCAGCCAAGCGGAGAAAGCAGACGCAAGGCAAGGTTGCCGCTGCCGTCGCTGATGCCAGCGAACACCGCGACGACTCGGCGTCCGGAGCCGACCTCACCCTGGCGTCGGGCCCTCCGCCGTATGCGCGCGACGTCCACCTCCGCCCGCTCCCGTACGCGGCGTTTGACAGTACGGCGGTGCCGGCACCGTCGGAGCCCAAGGCTGTGTTGCTGGACGACTTGGCTAACGTGCTTCGTCACGAGGAGCATGTGCTTGCCAGCGCGCTCGCGCGGGTAGTCTCGGTCTCGGAAGACGGCGAGGAGGCGGCAAACGCGCTGCTGACGGTGCTGGCGGCCGAGGGTGATGCCATTGCCTTTGTCGACGCTGTCGTGGCCGACGAGGTAGCGGTGACCGAGGCGCGGCAGTCGAACACCCTGCTGCGAGCCAACACTATGGCGTCCAAGGTGCTCAAGGCCTTTTGCGGCATCGAGGCACTCGAGTACGTCTTTGCCGTCCTCCGGCCGTACCTCCTCCATGCGCTGTCGCAAAAGGCGCCGCACCCGCTAGCGCCGCGGACGGCGTCGGACGACGCCACGGCGCTGCTCGACGCCGTCGACGCCGTCTTTGCATCGGTGCTGGAGAGCGAGGCCGGGTTCCCAGCGCCGCTCCGCGCTGTCCTCACCCTCCTCTACGATCACGTTTCGCACTCGCAGTTTGCCCACCTCTCGACCCGAGCCGTCTCGTCAGTCCTCTTTCTCCGACTGCTCTCGCCAGCGCTCTGCTCGCCGCTTGCGTACGGCCTCATTGACATCGAGGCCGACGGCCTACCGCCGCTCTCAGGCGATGCGCAGCGAAACCTTGTCGACGTGTCCAAGGTCCTGCAGGCCGTCGCCAACCAGGCTCTGTTCGGCACCCGCAATGCGCACCTTGCTGGCACCAACCCTTGGGTCAAGGCCGCCATCCGCGAGCTGGAGGCCTTTGTGGCCCGGCTCTGCCTCGACGAACCGCACGCGGACGACCGGGCTTTGCTCGAGCTCGACCCAGCGTACGGCACGCCGGTGGTGGAGAAGGCACCCAGCGCCGAGGAGGTCGAGGGGGCCTTGAGCGCGCTCGTCCGGCTGTGCGGCAAGTACGAGACCGAGCTGCGGTCGCTGCTCTCCGAAGCTGCGCTCCGGCCGGGCACCTCCCGCCGCTGCAAGTCGCTGGGCACATCGGCCCGCGGCGAGCGGCCGTTCGACCACGTCCAGCGCAATATTGTGGAGATCTTCACTCACGGCGCCGAGCCTCACGCTGTCGCCGGCATCATGGCCAAGGACACGTACGCGGTCACCTCGGCACTGGTTGAGGTGGTCAAGCCCGACGAGGGCGACGACGTCGCCGGCGCCCTCGTCCTCCTCGCTCTCGGCCACGACGGCCGCGACGGTGGCATGCGCCTGGTCAAGGTCCTCGCCGCCCGCGAGCTGCGGACCGCCACCGAGCCCAACGCCGTCCTTCGCGGCTTCCATGTTGCCGCCAAGGTCGCCGGCCTTTACGCCGGAATTGTCGGCCGTGCGTGGCGCGACGCCGTCGTCGGCCCCTCGCTCGCCGTCCTCGACACCCTCGCCTCGGTCGAGGATCTCGTCGACGCGGTCGGCGACCTGCTCGAGCGCGCCTTTAACGGCATCGATGCCCTCCCGCTCGAGCTCCGCTCCATCGCCGACCACCTCAATGCCGTCGTCGGCGCCCGGTTCCCGAAGCGTGGTTCGTCGGCCCGGGACGCTTCCTCTTCACCCACTACGTCTGCCGTGGGCTGGTTGACGGCGCAGCGACTCCGAACGCCCGCACCGTCGCCAAGCGCATGGCCTCGGTCATCGTGCACATGGTCAACGACATGCGATTTGGCGTCGGCACGCCTGACGACGTTGTCCTCAACGAGTTTGTCGCCCGCAACGTCGCCGTCATGCAGGGCTTCCTCATGGAAGCCTCCCGCATCTCCGAGGCCCAGGCTCTCGCTGCCGCAGAGCTCGCTGCCGACGCCGCCGGCGAGGCCTGGTTCGACGACGCCCAGATCAGCTCCGCAGCCGCGTACATCGCGTCACGCCTCCACTACTACGTCGACAACGCGGACTTTTGCTACGTCTTCCACTTTTACCACTTTTACGACGCTGACGACGTCGACTACGCACCTGACGCCTCCCCAGCCCGCGCCTCGGCCGCCGCCCTCGCGCCCGCCACCGACGATGTCGAGACAGGCTCTGAATGGGCAGTCATGGCAGAGCTCTCGCGCATCTTGCGCGAGTGGCGCCTGCAGGCGTAGACGCCAAACACGCTGTAAACGAGCACTGTGCTCTCGCAACTGCCCTTGCGCCTCTCTCAATAGTGAAAAGATGCAAGGCTGGCTTGGCTGGCCGCACGGGTGTGTTTGTCCGATTAAGAGGAAAGGGGCGTGTGTGCAAAGAGAGGGACAAGCTGGAGAAGCAGAGAGCAAGAAAACTGCGCGAGCCAAGAAACGATGCCGCCCCGCCGGCCAAGAGAAGGCAGGCAGAGTCGGCAGCCGTGCAGCCGTCGCCGGCGGAGCAAGCAACGGCACACAGCAGAAGGGAGAGGTGGTGAAAGCCAGAAAGCGCGCTTACTTGTCGCGCTTCTGCAGGTACACCACAAGAGCGTAGAGGCCGCCGTAGACGCAGCACGTCCATGCAATGCCAGAAATAAGCATAATAAGGCCAATGGCAGCCTTGGTCGACGCCTTAACGCCGAACGAGCAGCGCGACGGGGCACCATTCGAGAAGCAGGCGCCGTTGCGGAAGCCGGCCACAACCGGGTCCTTCTGCGAGCGGATCTGAGCATCAACCGAGTACGACGAGCAATCGGACGGCGACGGCGAGTTCTGGACAACGCTGCTGCCGCAGGCGGTGTAGTAGGCACCGACGCGGCCGTAGGAGTCGGTATCGACAGACGAGTAGCAACCGATGCCGCCGTCGCCCGCAAAGTAGCCCGAGCCGGAGCCGTCTGCAACCTGGCGGCAGAGCAGGTTCATCTTGTACCACTGGTCCTTGGGCGGCGTCGGCGGCGAAGGCGGCGAAGGCGGCCGCGAGGTTGACGAGCCCGACGACGTCGACGTCCCGGAGATCGTGCGCTTGTAGTTGGGCGAGACAACGCCGCCACCCGAAATGACAGTCGCGCTCTCAGTAAAGTCGATGGCCACATCCGACGGCGGCGAGGTGAACGTCTGGCCGGCGGAGGGGAACGAGTTCGGCCGGCCTGAAACACGCCAGAACAGCGGCTGATAGGCAATCTTAGAGTCGTCGTCGACCTTGACAACCTCCTGGGTCACCGCCGACATGGTGTTGGAAAAGTCGCTGGCAACAAAGGTCCGCGCAGCAAAGGTAGCCCGCTGCGACTGCCACTCCTGCATGCCCACCACAAACTTGTCCACCCGCTTACCGCGCGAGTCCTTCAACGCCGCCACCAGGAAGATGAGGCCCACAATGGTGAGGATCGGGCCGGTGCAGAGGATGCAGCAGATGCACCCGAGGATGTCCTTGCCCGTCTCCTTGGCTGCGTTGGTGTGTGAAGGGGAGGGGAGGGGTTAGTGGGCATGGCTGACTGGTGGGGTGGCTGCCTGGTGGGGTGCCTGGCTACCTGGTGGGGTGCCTGGCTACCTGGTGGGGGGGTGCCTGGCTACCTGGTGGGGTGCCTGGCTACCTGGTGGGGGGGTGCCTGGCTACCTGGTGGGGTGCCTGGCTACCTGGTGGGGTGCCTGGCTACCTGGTGGCGTGGCTCCTATGGCAGGCTGAAGCCTTTTTCAGCCGCATAAGCCGCAGCAACACAAACACACGCAAAGCCACCGTTGTCCCTTCCACGTCCCCACCCCCTCCTTCCCCTCCCCCCCTCCCTCCCTCCTCCCCCCACACCCAAAAGATGGCAATGCCAACCACGGCCGCCTCCAACACTCCCTGCACATAGCACAAAGCAGAGGTGCTTCTCATACAGACAAAAAAGACCATCACACAAACACAGAGGTGGATGCTGTGATCTGGTGACCATGGGCATGGGTATGAGGCTGGTCATGTGCGCTCCGAATGGCTAGGAACAAAAAATCGCGCGCATTCGCCAAAAGGCCGCCGATCAGACAGTCGCCTTGACAAGCTGGCAAGGGTCGCACGCCATGGCCACCGCTGGTGCTGTGGACACAGTGGAAGGAAGAAGAATAGGGAGTGAGGGGGGGAGAGAGAAATACAGTGTACGTACCCATCTCCCATGCCTCGGCAGGCTGCACGCAGCCGCCACGTCCACGTCCGTTTCCGTTTCCGCGTCCCATTGTCTTGCTAGCTTTGAGAGTGCGGTGTGGCCGAGGATGAAGGAACTGTCGTTGAACATCGTTGCGGAACAGGAGAGCCACCACATGATAACGGTTGCAGGGCAAAAAGGAAAAAAATGGGGGGGCTCCCAAAAAAAAGGCACAGTCAGCAGGACGGCTGATGGCTGCATGCCCATGGCTGTTGCAAGAAGAGAGGGGAGAGGAGGGGGAGGGGATGGAAGGGGGGAGCACAAAGGCCGAGGCGGACGGAAGAATACGTCGGGCACGCCGCGTGGGGCGGGTGACCTGGCGGGTGTCGGGAGAGTGTTGTGGAGGGCGGAAAAGAGCCGTTGACGTCATGGCGACGGCAAGGAAGGAGAGGAGGCGGGGGCGGGGAGAGGGGGAGGGGACCCGGGGGACCAAGGTGATAGATGCGCCCGATGGAGTGAGTGTGCAGGGAAGGAGCTGATATATGGGGGCTGGTGCCAGATGCTTGTCGCTCCGTCAGGCTTGTGCCACGACTCGAGAGCCGGGCACTACATCAAGAGCCAACAGTGGCCATGATGAACGGTAGGACAAGGATTGGGGTCCGCCATCTAGACCGCATTTATGCGCATCAGTAGAGGCACTGTCGCTTGCTGTGGCTAGTAGCAGGGCCTGTGTGTGCATGAAGCCCGCGCCGTGCCGCCAACTGTGCGAGAAACAAAGATCACAAAACAGCCGCGTCATGTTTACTATGTCACATCAACGTCTCTTTGCTCATCCGCACCGTTCATTCCGCACACGCACGCAAAGCATGGCTACAAGAGGAGCTCTTCCGATGTGGTCTTGCGCATGCTGCCACGCTCACCAGAGCGCTTGGCGACGGAAAGAACCCGCTCGGCGCGCATGGTGCGGAGCAGCGATGGCTGCTGCAGTTCATCGGGCGGGGGAGCGAGGTCTGCGGTGGACGACTTGCGCGACCAGGAGGGCGAGACACGGGCACGCGGGCGGAAAGCAGCCTTGCGGACGGCGAGGTCGATTTCGGCGTGAAGCGCTTCATGGATGACCGGGAACGGTGTGTTGAGATCCCAGCTCCGCTTCCCTGTGACCGGCAGCGGCGCGGCCGCAGCGGCCGACGGCGGCGACGACGCGGTGTGTTGTGCTGGTGCGAGGCCGAGTGGAGCCTGCGCGAGGGCGGCACCGTTGCTGGCGATGCGAAGTGAGTGGGTGACGGAAGCTGACGACGGCGCGAGCGGCTTGGCAAAGGCCGGCAGAGAGTGCGGCGGCGGCGGGACGGCGATGCGGGCGTCGAGGTCCGAGACGAGCGGGAGGATGCCAGCCGAGACAAGCGCCGAGTGCTTGTGGGCGCGGACGGTCTTTGCGGTGGCCAGGAGCGAGGCATACGTCTCGCGGAGCGCTGGGAGGACGACGCCAGGTGGCTCTTGCGGGTGGAGATCAAAAAAGAGCGAGACCGAAAAGTTGCGCGGAAAATGGTGGTGCGACGAGTCCGCGTGAGGGCCCTCGAGCTTGGCGGCCGGTAGGGCGACGACGGCCGAGTCGACAAACGCGGCATGAAGGGTGGCTCGGAACATCTCAACGCCGTCGTCTTCGACAGAGCGAGTCGACCCGCCGCGATTGCGGACGTGGAAGGCGCGGATGAGAAAGTCAGACGCGACAACAGTGTCGACGTCAAAGACCAGCGCAGGCACTTGGCCGGCGTCAAAGTACGGTACCACGCCGTTGAACTGCATGCGCCACTGCGAGGAGAAGAGGAGCTTGGGCGGATGCGCAGCCGCCGAGTACACGTTGACCACTGGCCGGCAGCCACCGAGCTCGCGGCCGTCGGCCGCCACCCGAGACGCAAAGGTCGGCACGCCGTGGAGGACGATCTTGCGGAGCCGTCGGGCAATGCCCGGGTCCGGCACCACCGACTTGGCCATGGCCGTGTCAAAGTACTCGACATACCGCCGCTGCGACGGCTTGGTCACGCCCTGGCGCGTTGCAGAGCGCCTGCGCGCAAAGACGCCGAGCGCCTCGGCTGCAGACCGAGCCTCCTGGGTCAGGGTCAGATACGAGGCAATGACCGTGCCTGTCCGCCCGCGCCCGGCAAGGCAGTGGACAACGGCCACGTGATGAACGGCAGCAACCAGATGGCTATGCACAGCATGGACGGCAGAGAGCAGTCGCTCCATCGGCGGCGGATAGTGGTCGGGAAACGGCAGCGCGACGACAGCGAGCGCATGGGGAAAGTCAGCCGAAGAACGCTCACAGACGTTGAGAACAAGGACAGCATTGGGGTGGTAGGCTTCGAGCATGGCCGAGACATCAGCCACCGCATTCCGATACAAAGACTCGACACCTGATGACGGATATCCCATAGCAATGATCCTCCGTGTGATGTACGTCAGATCGAGGTCGTACTTCCCGTCGGCGTACCGCACCTTGTCCTGCGACACGAGCGACTGCATCTTCCTCCGGAACATGCTTGCCTCCTCACACACACGCCACACACCCTCTCCCTAACCTGTGCACGACCCGGTCGTTTCCCCACGTCGAGTGTGTGCCAATGTGTGTGAGCGAGGGTGCGGGGTGTGGGGTGCGGTGGTGGGTGGAGGGGGGTGGGGTGGGGTGGGGGGGGGGGGGCGGTTGTTGGTCCTCCCTGCGTGGGCCTGTAACCAGTCACCAGGCGGCGCACACTTGGCGGATGGGAGGGGATTGGAAGGGGGTGGGGGGGGGGGAGGGTGGGTGGGTGGGTGGGGGTGGGGAGTATCCCTTATCGGATGGTGATGGAGGTAGGGGTGGGGTCGTGGGAAGGGTTGTGGTAGGGGTGATGGCGGTGATGGGGTTGTGTGGGAGGGGTCGCAATGGCAGCGATGGCAGTGATGGGGTTGTGGGAGGGGTTGTGGGAGGGGTTGTGGGAGGGGTTGTGGTAGGGGTGATGGCGGTGATGGGGTTGTGGGAGGGGTCGCGATGGCAGCGATGGCGGTGGGGCGGCGGCGTGTGGAGGAAGGGACAGGCTCGCGGTCGCAAGGACGGCGCCAGCAGCCACCGCCCAGAGCAGCAGGATGAGAGAGAGAGCGGGACCGGGACAGGGACCGGGTGGGACACGTGACTGGCATTTGAAGAACAAGACATGCCTACCAAGCTCCGTCCTGCTCGTAGTAAGCCTGGTATTGTAACTGTCTTTCTGGAGTGGCTCTTCTCCCATGGTGCCCTCTCAGGCATGGCCGTCGTCCTCGCCGTCGGCTACGCTGCCACCCTCGCTGCGCCCATCCTGCTGGCCTCGGCTGCTGCTCCTCGACTGGTGTACGAACAAGGGGGGGGGGGGGGTTACATGATGATGGTGATGCTAATGCCGATAGTGAGTAGATGGCTGGCGTGTGCGGGTAATCCTTGTCCAGAACGTGCGGCGTGTGCGCGTTGGCGATGGCCTGGGCGTCGTCGGCATGCCCATAGACACCACCCAAACTCACCATCTTCCCAGGACCTCGACCTCGCACGCGGTGATCAACAAGGCCTGCTCGGCCGCCATCCTGATCCTGCTCATTGCCCAGTATGCTGGCATGCTGCCGTCGCCGCTGGAGGTCTTTGTGGTCGGCGAGTTGTTCATGGGACCCATTCGTGCCATGTGCGCTGCCTTTGCCACCGGCGGCCTCGCCGTGTACATCTGGGCCATGCTCATGCGCCTCGGCCTCCTTGTCCCGACCTCGTTCAAGACCACCGAGGACAAGACTGTCCTCATTATGTCTGGGCCCTTTGATATTGTCCGCTACCCGCACCTCTCGGCCGTCATCGTCATCGAGTTTTGCCTTGGCGTCGTCTCAACCAACCTGATGGTCCTTGTCATTGCTCTCGCCTCGGCCGTCGTCGCAAACTACCGCGTCGCCGCCGAGGACTCCATCTATGGCCGCCTCTTCAAGCGCGACATGATCAGCTACAAGTCGCGCCAGATTGGCGTCCTCATCCCCATCATTGAGATCGAGTAACATCCTCTGTCATAATACAAGACGCACATCGTCGCCGAGCCACTGCGCGAGCAGCTCGCGTGTCCCCGGCTTCATCACCGGCTCCAGCCCGCACATGATCAGCATCCGGAACCGCCTGTTCTCCAGCGCATGCATCGCCAGAGTTAGCGGCGTCTCGGCCCGCGCCGCTGCTTCAACCTCGGACACATCAAGCACCTCGAGCCGGCACAGCGTTTGCAGCGCTGCCGCCAGACCTACCTCGGTCACCCGCGTCTGCGACACATCCAGCCGCACCAGGCTCGTCGAGAGCACCGGCGAGTCACACACGTTCCACAACGCCTCGTCACAGATTCCGCTCCCGCCCGCCAGAGAGAGACTCTCAAGCGCCAATCCTGACTGCGCAAGCGCCTCTGTGCCCTCGCTGTCCACCCCGTACGCGTACGCCAGCGTCAGCGCCCGCAGCCGCGGCGCGCCCGCCACTACCGCAGCCAGCCCGGCATTCCCCACGTGCATCGCAAACCAAATATGCAGCGCCGTGAGGTTTGCAAAGCACGAGCCCGGCATCCGCGCCAGCGCCGCGAGCGTGTGGTCCGAAAAGTTGGCCCACACCCGATCGCGGAGGCCAAACCCGATCGCCGTCGCCGCCGGAAAAGCCGCCATCACGCCCGCAACTTCTGCTCGCGACTCGGCCTTGAGCGGGAGACCGTACACCTCGATCTGCCGCACATACTGGAAGCTTACCCCGCGAAGTCGCGCCGGAACTACAAGCGCACCACCGTCTGCGCCTACACTCACCACCGAGTCAATGACCAGCGCCGTGACGCCGGCCGCCACGAGGCCAAACACCAACCTAGAGTCGAGCAACGCACCAAGCCATCCGCCACGGACCACCACCCTTTGCAAACACGCACTCGCCTTGGCCAGCTGCAGCAGCAATTCTGCACACGCCCGCGAGGCCACCCATGACTCGAGCGGCGCCGCCACCGCATCGATCTCCAGTGCCTCCAGCCGCGGGAACCGCGCCACCGCCGCCATCGCCGCCGCCACCTCGTCGGCCTCGTCTTCGCCGATCCGGATCACCACCACCCGCCACTGTCGCGCTCGCGCCGCCATCGCCGGATGTGCCAGCGCACCCACCGCCCCCGCCCGCCCGCCCCCGCCCACCACAAGCACCTCGGCTTCGGCCACCGCTGCTCGCCCTGCCCGACAGCTCGCCGCCACCGCCGCCAGCTCGCGCGCCTCCAGCATCTCCACCACACGCCGCGTCGCCGCCTCGGGCAAAGGCCATCCGCTCGTCGCCATACCCACCACTTTGGCCAACGCCTGCACCCGACCTGGTCCCGACCTCACAGAGAGTGGGAGCGACAAGTTGCCCACGGCGACGTGACTCCGACCCGACCCCAATGACAGCTCAGCCTCCATTCCGTTCCATACCATGTTAACCCTTATCGGTTTGGTCGTTGAGCCACCCCATTTTTTTTGGTGTCCACAGAACACCCCCACCCCCCACATTCCGGACCGACTCGGT